TCAAAGACTGTCTACACAATGTAGTACAAGTCAAGAACTATTTACATTATGTATTACAACAGGTTAAGTTATATCTACACAGTGTAGTACAACAAATCAAAGACTGTCTATACGGCGACAATGGTTAAGTTATATCTACACGTGGTTATTTACGTGAACGTAAAACTTTTCCATTTGCATTATTTTATTACATACTTGTATTGATATAAACATCCATATATATATAATAGGTTACTAGGAGGGTTGGAAGGAAGATAAACAGACAGTACTATAAAGCTACTTGCATGTTAATGTGTATAATAAGAGGTAAATGGAGTTAGTAACATTAGAATGGGTAATAAAATAGGTCGGTAGCGAAATAAGGCCAAACGGGTAATGAATGAAAAGGTTACAGGTAACCTGTAGATGGAGCTGCATGTGTCTGTGAATGTATTTCTGTGGTTAATACATACACAAAAAAGATAAATATACAGTAGTTCAAAATGTGAAAACAGCCTCTCGTTTGCGTGTTTTTAATATGCTTCACAAATTCTTTTCTAAAGATAAGTTAAATAATATGAAATAGATTTGAAAACTAATTGCAGTCGTGATATTTCCATCATACAAATACTGCTTAACTCCCTCTAGCAAGATTTATTACGATGGACCAGAAACATTTATTGAAGGCAGGAAGATTCAGTGGTTATTTTCGTGTATGTAATTTTTTTTTACTGATAAACGGTTTCAAATCTCTCTAATAAACGGTTCTGGATCTCTCTGATAAACTGTTCTGGATCTCTCGGATAAACGGTTTTGGATCTCTCGGATAAACGGTTCTGGATCTATCAGAAGAGAAAGAAAAAGTGTTCAATGACTTCTTCCCAACAAATTAATAAATCATGTCTTTAAAACAAGTAAAAGTAGAGTATAAAGAAGCGTAAAATTAACGGAATTTCTTAAAATGTTTGTCTGTCTTTAATTTACAGATATTAAAAATACTAAAGAATAATCTATATCCGTGTAGTAATGCAACGAATATAGCTACCATCGTTACTAAGAAGTATGTTTCAGTTACTGCTTTATACTTATATAGGTGTTCGATCCTCCCAAGCTAAGAGAACACTACACCTGCCAGTCCCAGTTTGTCCGAGACGTAATAGCTATATTACCGACTGAAACAATATGCAGGATTATACCAGGTAAGACATTATAGTGAGTTTTACACCTGCCAGTCTCAGTTTATTCAAGGGACGGCTAGCACAGGTGACCTTTGCGTAACTTTGCGCGAATATCTAAAAAAAAAAACACATAAATTTCCAGTAACAGCATAATTTATTTTATTGTTTAACACTTGCAAGAAGTAGTTTTAAGATATCAGTGTTTCCTCTGAGTAACTCTGAGAGCTTATGGAGCTAAAAATTGTGTTTCGATACCCTCAGTGGACAGAGCACGGATAACCAGCTGTTTATGTATCTTTGCACTTAACAAAAAACAAACCCTCTGGTCATAGTTCAAAGTTAGAGGCGGCGGAAAAAAGTCTTAGTAGCTTTAACATAAGTAAAAAATTACAGAGTAATATTAAAGTCCAGGGAATTAAAATTAAATTCATCTTATTTTCAAAAAAATATGGATTAATAAAAGATAATTTACATGCGACTGTAAAAAAAAATTAGGATTCGATAAATACGATATGTTGTTAATCAAATCAGTTTATTGTTTACATATCAGGCCGCAAATTGAGGCCAAAGTGACCAATATTTGGCAAACACGAAGACCAATTTGTCTCAAATTGAAAGGCCGGATTATTTTGGTAACGTGTGATCAAGATGACTATTATTTACGTTTCTTCTCTGTGTGAGGACTTCTCCTAATCATTTTATCCATGATCAGTTATGTGTTAAAACGATTTAAAAACTTCGTGGAGCCTTCATTTGCTTCTCTGCTCATGGCCCGGCGTGGCCAGGTGGTTAAGGCACTCGACTCGCAATCTGAGGGTCGCGGGTTCGAATCCCCGTCTCACCAAACATGCTCGCCCTCTCAGCCGTGGGGGCGTTATAATGTTACGGTCAATCCCACTATTCGTTGGTAAAAGAGTAGCCCAAGAGTTGGCGGTGGATGGTGATGACTAGCTGCCTTCCCTTTAGTCTTACACTGCTAAATTAGGGACGGCTAGCGCAGATAGCCCTCGTGTAGCTTTGCGCGAAATTCAAAAAACAAACAAACAATTCTCTGCTCATAATCTCTTGTTCTTTGCTCCTAACAGCAAGAAAAAAATATTGTGTGCAAAGAAGCTTTACAGTAGATCAGTAAATTAGCATGTAAATAAAGAATTAAATCAGTTAAATCCATTTTCATCCTAGCAACGCCGGGTACTCTGCTAGTGCTAATATAATACTAAATTGACTTTCAACGATTTGTAAGCATAATGAAGTGTTTTATTTGTGTGTGTGGGTGGGGGGGGGGACGATACTACATATTTCAACAGAACATTGGTCTGCCTTTTTTTAAATACCCGAATAAGATAGACCAATGTTCTGTCCAAATATGTCCCCCCCCACCAAAAAAAAATGAGCCATTTCATTATGCTTTAAATCGTTGATTGACAATTTACTGTTAAGATTCTGCACGTAATGAGTCTAACGACGTCATCATTTGTTTACGTCATCGTTTGTTTTTGTTGATCTTCGAAAAGATACTTTCCTCAGCAGTAGATTAGGCGTGTATTTAAATTTAAAATGTAAATTTTAATCTATTCACCTTAATATTGATTATCACAAACAGTCCGTGGTGATTCAACGGTAAATTTGAGAGCATTTAACGCTAAAACTCGGGTTTAGATACCTACAGTGACAAAAGCATATATAGTCCACTGTGTAGATTTGAGCTTAACAACAAACAAATTTATCCTAAATCGATAGCACATTAAATAATTATATTCTTTTCTAGTACAATCACGTAATTTATGCAATGAAATAGTGTAAAATACAAACCTATTTTCCAAAATAAACATATGGTATTTATGTTTTTGTTGTTTTTCAGAAGTCACTCGCATTCCGAAGCATTTCTTATACACATGTGGGGGCGGTAAGTGTTCTATTTCGTAGTATTTCTGGGTAATGTCATAACTTCCGAGTGACTGAGGTGTTTTGATTTTATCAGCTAATTTGATCTAAGATAATCATATACTCATTAAAGACTGATATACACAGAAAAATATTTTCTTATTTTTTATCAGGAATAAGGATAAGGTTTCAAAATAAGCTTTATTAATTAACTATAAAAACTAGGCTTCAGGAGCTTGCGGGTTTTGTACAATTTTATAAAGGTATCACAATTCGCCATTAGTCTGCCTAGTTGTCACGGTTTATATATATATATTGTTTTTTACAAGTGTGACAAATGGCACAAACATTTCGCGCAAAAATATATAAACCAAAAATATAATTTCCCGTACATAATACTACCAAACCTTCCCTTTCAACCAGATTTGAGTTTTACTTTGAAGTTTGGTTCTCGAGAAATTGTTTGTGTTTCCAATCGGTAAATATTTCACTTATAATTGATATAAATAGTGTACTTCGAGATAAATGAACTAATTTTCCTTTAAACAAGTTTTAAAATTTAACTTCTCACGACCTGCTTATTCCTCAATAGACCTTAACTTACTTGTCCAAATATTATTTTACACCTAGTGAGGAACAGCGTAATTGGTGAAAGAAGACAAATACTTGTAAAATATGGTAAAAGAACAATAAAATATTAGTTGTTCAAAGAAAATCCTTCCAAGAGCGTGAATGTACGTCTACAAGATAGTAGTTGATTTTACAGAAGTTTATTGGATCACGTATCCATGTACAGTGAATCTACGCCTACAAGATAGTAGTTGATTTTACAGAAGTTTATTGGATCACGTATCCATGTACAGTGAATCTACGCCTTCAAGATAGTAGTTGATTTTACAGAAGTTTATTGGATCACGTATCCATGTACAGTGAATCTACGCCTTCAAGATAGTAGTTGATTTTACAGAAGTTTATTGGATCACGTATCCATGTACATTTAAATAAGTAAGCATTTCGGCTGATAAATGTAGTTAATTAAACTATAGATGAAAGAAATTAAGAAACTGTCTTATATGTTTATGTTATTATTAGGGATTTCGTTTTCAACTATTACTATAAAAAAATAATGAAATACTGAATCATGTCAAAATCAGTAATCATATTTAAAGCCTGATGACTGTAAAAGAAAACCATTGGTTGTGTTTAAGTAGCAAGCCTGATGAACCTAAGTATTAGCCGAAAGGCCCCCGTCTCCACTGGATAAGGCAAACACAGTGTGGCTCAAATATTATTTTATATTTTTCTTTGTTTTCACTCAACAAGTTCTTAAGAATGTAACTCAGTAGAACTGATAAAATACCGTAATCTGGACTTATCCTCGTTGAGAGTTTATTATATTCAAAATGTTTGTAAACGAGTAAAAAATAAAAGGTCCTGTATGTTGAAAGGTTAATTCTTTTCATAAGGAATATATATATATATATGGTATTCTTAAAGTAGACGGAAAAAATATTAAACCAATTAAATGTGGATTCTCTATTCCCTCAGCCCGATTGACGAGACTTGCAAAGCTGCACGCCCCCTACAAGTTTTACGATCTCGTAGACAGGTAATGTAGGAGCGTTTCCTACGTTGGTACTGTAATGTTTCAAAGCGAGATTTAGTTTAACATTGGGGTTTGATAAAGATCGTTTAACCAACGTACTAGTAACATAATTATTTTTCCCCTTACGACTAATTTGGACATTTCTTTGAGTTTTCAGATGATCAAAGTACTTCGTTTGTCGTTTTACCAATTAGATTTAGTAGAAGAAAAAATTAATAAACTTTTTGTTCGAGATTTGGTTTCTGGTAAGATTAAATCAAATATGGGGTTAAATAATTAATTATTTCGACGTAGAATAAAAAAAATATGCGTCAGTAACTAAAGGAATATTTACGGTAGAAGAAGAATTCGAAAGCATGGACTATTTTAATCAGTAACAGAATACACGAAAAACACAGTATAAGATATCCAAACTTAGTCATCACAATCAACTATACATAAATTACAAGAAATCATGCTAAAACAAAGAACAGAAAACCAAGTGTTATTAAGTTTAATGGTTTTCTGTTTCTAGTTTGAAAGCGTTAGAGCTTTAGTTAATTATTCTATGTATTATCACTCACAAGAATTAGAGATAAATAATGCAAGGAAATCAGGTCTAAAAGTACTGCAATGAACAGCTGTTGCATCAGATCTAAAGCATAGGTGTCAGAATATTTAACATGTACTTGTCGAAGTATTTTTTTCTGGAATGGTTGTTGCCTTAATGTTGTATTAACTTTACCTAGCTATTTTTTTTACTGTTTTAAAGTTAGAGTATGTTTGTACGTAATATGTGTGTATGGATAGCGTTTGCTATAGTTGTGAGGTAAATATCTTCAGGAAAAGTCAAATATCAAGACTCGTGTTTCTCTGTACGCAGCCGCACAAGTAATCCCAATGGAATCAGAGCCTTTCGTCTCACTCTTTCCTTGATAACTGTAATTCACTGGATTGGATGCCTCTATTACATTGTTTCTGAGGTACGTAGAAGTGTTTGCTTAGTTAGACACTACTCAATAGACTTTTCTACTTTTGTAAACGAAAAATGAATACGTGCAAGCATGAATATTGAGCTTGTTGACTCTGCTGTCCTGTAAACGTTTTAACTTGTGAAGTTTAACTCATTTGAATCAGTGTAAAAATATTTAGTATGAACACTAATAGAGCAGGCTAATAAGCACATATACTTTACCTACCTATAATAACCCATGTTTACATATCTTCAGTAATGAAAAACAAAATGAAGAAAAACTAGCTAACTAGCCAGATCTCTCACACATTTAAATATTTATTTCTCCTAATCTTAATTAAGTATATATTTTTACTATCCTTGTGCGTTTCGTCTAGCACGAGGGTCTCGGATCAACTGGATGGGTGTACACAAGCGATGCTGACAAACAACGACTTTTCAGGTATGTACCTGTTGCTTAGAGATTCAAGTTTCGTCTCTTTTATTTACAAATATGCCATACACA